CCCCACCTCACCTCCATCCCAGACTTGTTTTCTGCAGCAATACCAGTTTTTGTTTGTGTGTGTGTGTGTGTGTGTGTGTGTTTTATTAGAAAGGTCAGTTCCATTCCTTTGAAATGAGGCAATGTTGGATAATTGGAAGAGATCATGTTTCAAAATTGGTATTCCCATGAACTTGCCAAAACAAGTCCCTTCCCACTTGGCTGTCTTCCCTCCCCAGTTTTACTGCAGGTCCTCTTTCTCTGCATGTGCTCCAGATTCGCCTCAGTCTCTGGGAGCCCACATTCATTCTGTGTCCAGAGTAGATCGTCTAATGTCATCCCTGTTTGATGATCAAAGTCTGAACGTAACGAGGGTCTCCCCATATGAGAGCAAAGAGGAGCCAGCTGTTGGGGGAAATGCATCCCTTTCCTGACAGTCATGGAGTCAGGTCAAAGCTCACACATGTAACTGACACCTCAGAAGTAGTAACAGTCTCCACCTGCTCTGTTTCTGCATCCTCAGAGCTCTTGTTGAATCGAGTCCGTTCTAACAGCCATCCTATAGGATTTCCGAGACTGTCAAGCTCTGCAGAAGCAGACTGACTCATTGTTTTCCTGTTGAGCAGCTGGTGGGTTCGAACTGCCAACCTTTCAGCTAACAGCTCAATACTTAACCTACCATGCACCATCTCCCCAGCAAGACGCAGGTCCAAACAGGCAGAGGTGCAGCTCCTACCTGTCTCCCTGTCTTCTGGGACCTCTGCCAGCAGCCACTCAGGAGCTCCTGTCTTTCCTCCCCTGCACTCGCACCTACACCGGCTGGGGGCTTATTTCAGTGACTCCCGTAGCTCAGTACTGGAAACGAGGGAAGGCCACCTGAGACCCCCGTGTATCTCACCATCAGCACACCTTGGGAGGGAATCCCTTCTCGTTCCAGAGCAGGAGGCACAGAGACTTCGTTCAGAGAGCTGATGGAAAGCTTTTACTTTGCCTGCTACCCGTGAGCAGTCCTGGTAACCCAGTGGATTAGGCATTGCACTGGCAACCCAACAGTCAGTGTTTCGAGCCCACCAGCCATGTTTTGGGAAAAGAGGTCTTCTGCATCCATCAAGATTTACAGCCTCAGAAACACGCCGTGACAGTTCCTCTCCATCCTGTCCGCCCGATCAGAGTCGGAATCAACTCAATGGCAGCGGGTGGGGTTTTGGTTAGCAGCCATGAGTCAGTTTCCTGGATGACACTGTTAAAGTTAGAGAAATAACATTAAAGCTAGCTGTAAATAACAAGGGGCCTTCAGAGAGTTTGTGGGAAAATGCCTTATCTTCAAATTCCATTTTTTCACAAACTTTCTGCAGCTCCCTCGTGTCTTTCCCTTTCATCACTGTTCTTTTCCTAGTTGGAAGGAGCCGTGAACAAAGACGTGATTAGCAAGGGTCCTCACACTGATTACATGAAAAATCCCCTCTTTTACTCTCTGGACTGTTTGCAAGCTGAGACCAGAAAAACCGCCATTCTAGGCAGAAACACGAGGGCCTGCTGCCAGTTTCCATTAGGCAGCTACAAGCTTCCAAGTGGGTTTTACTGCCCCTAAAAATGTTCACAGTTTGGGAAAGTATGCTTGTATTTGACCCCTTGCTCTGGGTTCCTCAGCAGCTGTAAGCACAGACAGGCTGGAATGTCCTGCTCCAGATATGGAGCGGTCTCCCCTTTGTGCACACAGATCTCTTTGAGAGTTATTTATACTCTCTGCTACGCTGAGCAACAGATATTACTATTACCCAGAAGCCTTCTGGTCCCAGAAGGAAGTGCTGAGGTCGAGGGAACACAATTCCCAGTTGTCATTGCATTCTTTGAAGAATAAGGCGAAGAGTTGAATGACAACAGGACCGACCGGCATGTCTGCAGGGTGTAAGGGAAATTGGAGCCTCGTCTTAGAACCCTAGGAGCTTACAGAGTCCCATCAAGCAGAGAGCCCACAGGGCTGCTGGGCTTTTGTTTAAGGGCCAGGTGATGGGGGTTTTAGAGCCAGTGCTGGGCGCCTCCTAACCAGGGTCTCAGGCTGCCTCCCTGGCCCCCAGTCATCCTGCAGAGAGCAGCCTGAGCTGCTTTTCTGCTGAACACTGGAGAGTGTGAGGAGGGTAGAGGTGCCCTTCCTTCACAGTTCAGTGGGTGGGCTCTCCTAAGTGTGGGCCCCTTGTCAGTGCACCTCTCACTCTGCTGACACGGGGTGCAACAAGGGGCCCTACAGAAACCACACAGGACAGGCACAAAGTCAGCCTGGAGGGAGCTTCAGATGGATCTGCTGTGTGACCCACAACAACAAAGTCACAGTGAGCCAGAGCAAGGGAGGACGGTGTGGAAGGATGGACGGGGCTTGGGATTTTCACTTTCAGAAACAGAAGCAGTGGCCGCATGTGTGCACAGGTGCATACCAGCTCCTAAAAGATTAACGTGAGTTTTAAAGCCTGGCACAGCCTTCGGAGGCATTGATAGATACACCAAAGACCCCGCCTCTGAGTCAATTCTGCCTTAGCCCTATAAGGACACCTGCTCTCTAAGGTTTCCAAGGATGTCATCTTTGTGGGAATAGGTGGTCACTTCCTTTTCCTGTGGAGCAGCTGGTAAATTCAAACCACCAGCCTTGCAGAGGGCAGCCTGGCACTTGACCCATTGCTCCACCAGGGCTCCTTGGATAGAGAGGAAGCGAAGATGCAGCTCCCTAAGTGTCCCCTCTGTCGCATTAGCTCACACCACGGGTGTCCGCTCTTGGTCCTACCGCTTGTTTTTCTCACATTCCCAGGCGCTTGGGATCAGTGGATTCTTGAATTGATGGCTACTTTTGATGATTCTATTGCCAGCACTTCAGTAAGCAGCTGGATGGATTTGCAGAAAGACACGGCTACTCTTTCATACCGAAAACGGAATCTTCTTGGCTTTTGGCTTGTGTGAATTACTGGCACTGGTGGGAATGGAGCCATGGTTGCAGGAGCTGGTGTTTGGCAGCAAGTTTGGGGCAGTTGTGCCCATTTTTAAAAGCTGCTTCTGCTCTGGACCTCCTCACACAGTGGTCTAAACAGCACACCTGTGTTACGTGGGGTGGCTCTGAAGGGCCACTCAGGATGTCTGACCCCATGTCTTCCTGTGTCTTGAGTGAATCTCTTCATCACCTAGTCACAGATCTGCTGGCCGGGGGCCATGGGTGCGTTCTGTATGCATGCCACTGGTTTATTCAGCAGAGACTGGCTTGTGTTTACAGCTGTGAGTATGTACACAGAGAGAAGGAAACTGTAAAGGCGCGTGTTCCCTCCCATGAGCATAGAGATGTGTGCACCCCACAAATGCTGGCGTTTTCAGGGTACATCGATAGCTGCTTCATCTGCTCCTTTGGACTGTATCCTTCGTGCATCACCACAGCACGGTCCCACAGGGCTTGGTGTCTGTCCAGCCTGCTGCGTCAGCACATGCCCCTCTAGACATCCTGAGTGAAGCCAGCATTTTCACAGAGCCCTGGTGACATGGGGGGAGGAGTGCAGTGTGTTTCCCTGAAGATCACAGCCTTAGGACACCCCCCCCCCCGGGGCAGTTCTGTTGTGTGCACTTGGTGGCAGTGGCAGCCCCCGTGTCCTTCGGACACAGCGCCAGGTCCCCACTCTGCAGCCCTCACCAGCTCTTAACGGGTGCCCACGGTTCCTCCGTGCAGTTTGTCTTGCCAGCTGTAGTTGTCAGGGTAGAACTGGAAGGAAACCAGAATCATTTTCTGGGGAGAAGGGATAGTTCTGATCACAAGCTTTTTCTCCAAGGAAAATATCCCCTTCCCTTTTTGAGAGGAAGCAGGAAAGTCAGGATGCCGTACCTCTGTAGCCGTGGTTTGCTGACTCGGGGGGCTTGTGGAATGTTTTGTGTGTCTGCCCTGACTGGAAAGATGATGGTGTATGGGGCGCCGTGAGGACAGCCTCCCTCCATCGCCTGGAGTCAGGGAGGCGCTGCTGCTCAGCGGCTACACAAATTCCCAGATTAGAAAAGAATCTGGTGCTGCTGACCTCACTCCTTTCATGAGTGATCAGGCGGTTGTTTACTGCCTCCACCCGGGGCCACTGGCGCGGGAAAGCACTGCTTCTCACTCTCAGGGCCCGCCGCTGCTGCGGACGGGTCTCTTTGTAAATGTCTAACTCGGGCTGCCTATGAGCCAGCTCAATGATGGCATGCAGCCAGGGCTAAGCAGCCGCGTCTGCAGCAGGGCGAGTGGCGGGCAGTACTATGTGGACCTTCAGATAACCGGTCCAGCCGTCACGGTGGGGTGAGTAGTATGTGGCGTTTTTCAGATAGCTGGTCCGACTGTCGCGGCAGGGTGAGGAGTGGGCAGCAGTATGTGGGGCTTCTGATAGCTGGTCTGGTGGTCGCTGTGGGGCGGGCGAGTCGGGGGCAGTACCATGTGGGACTTCAGATAGTTGGTCCAGCGGCCATGGCGTGGGGGCCTAGCAGGGTCTCCAGGTAAAAGCACAGATTTGTCCGGTACAGTTTCCTATCTGTTCACTTCCTGAGGAGACAGAATGCTGCTGGTACTGAAGCAGTTATGGGAGGTGGTTGGCCGGGTTTCTCACTTGTCATTTCTGTGCAACTGATGGAGGCCCATTCTGTGGGTGCCCATTTTCACGTGAAGGGTCTGAATCGTGAGTTACACACATGCTTGATGAAGGACTACTTGGGGCTAGAAGGGTGGCTGGGTGTTCACCATAAACTTGAGTGTATAAGCGTTTCATCCTGGTGTTTTCCCCCGGCTTCTCCCTCTCTTACCAGCTGTCTGTGCTTACCTCATGGCTCTGCTTTAAATGGACCAAGGCAATTCTAGAACCACTTGGTGAGGCCTACGAAACCTGACCCCTCTGTCTCACCGTGCTAAGGATTTGGTCTTTATTGTCATCACTCACAGCCAACCAGCTGGTGGGCCTGTAACATGTTGGGGTGGGGGCTGGAGGGCCATGTCTGCTGCCAGCCTCCTAAAACCGTGTGTCATTTTCCTAGCACAATCCTGGAGGAAGAGAAGGTTCAGCAAGAAGAACGCATGAGGATGGAGTCAAGAAGACAGGTCACGGTGTCCTGGGACTCTGGAGGGTCCGACGAAGCACCTCCCAAGGTAGAGAAAAGCCCCCTGGGACAGCCTGTGGAATTGACTTACTTATTGTTGGGTTTAGTGGTCTACAGAACGTCAGATGTCACATGGTTCTAAGAACCATCCGCACACCACCACTAACTGCTCTTTGTTAGCCTCATCCGCTTGGGATCCAGGCTGTGCTGAGCTGGGTGTTATGGGGTGACATGTCTCCTCTGCCCCCTCCTGCATGACTGTCCGCCTGCATGGGCATGCCTCAACAGCGGAGTCAGGGTCCAGTCATCGCTGGCCTTTCTAAAGAGGGACCACATCCACCTGACCCTTCTGGTGGTGCTGGTGGTTCTGAGCACCTTGGGCAGCGGTCTGCCCAGCTGCCTGCCTATGGTGGTGGCTGGTGCAGTTGGCTGGCAGTATCCTCCGGCCTTGTTGCCCATTCCCTGTCCAGTCCCCTCCAGGTGGCGGTCAGGGCCCATCCTGGAACCTGGCGTGCTGTGGGTTGGGGCTACAGATGATGTTGCTCTTGACACCTCTGTCACATATAATGTAGGTAGGGCCCAGAAGGTATAACCTAGGATGTGTATGTACTTGGCGAGCGTACCTCCCATGACCTAGGGCTCTAAGCTAGCATAGTGCCTGGACTTGGAGAGAGTCTATTTGAGCACACACGGTAACATGGTGTGTGTTAAAGACCAGCAGACAGTGACTTCAGCACTCTTCGAAAACGTACTGAATTGAGGAACTTTTTTCATCTAACCCTTTTCCATTGCCTCAGTCTGTTGTTGTTAAGGTTTTTATTGTGGATTGAGTGTAAGTTTACAGGGCAGATCCTCAGGTTTACGTTCATTATAATGATTATGATCCCTTCCATGTACCATCAGTTAACAGGGTTTCTCTCTATCCATGTAAGCTTTTTTTTTTAAAAAAAAAAACAACAACACTCAGGCATAAATAATGATTTACATCTCCAAAGGTCACATTCTGCAAGTCTGCCTCCTGGCCACCGGCTCTTAGTCCTTCTCTTCCCATGAATCTAGAGTCCTCAGCCCTTCCCCCTCTCCATGTCCCCATCTCTGCCTCTGTCTCTGGTGTCGCTACTTCTCTGGATAGGGTCTTGAATTCTGCTTCTGCGCTTCTCCCTTGATGGTCTTAGGGGTCCTCTGTTTCTGGATGTAAGATTAACCACTCCCCTGTTTTTGTTACAAAACTTCTACCTTTACATTTGTGACAGTCGCGATTAGTCATGATAACAATTACTATTGAATCATAAGAATCTTATCCCATCTCTTTTCACCAGACCCATATAGATAAGATGAAAACTAGTCAGTGGGAACTGTATCTTCCCCCGCACACTCTGAAACTAAGCTCCCTCTTGAAACCTTGTAAGCCAGTCACTTTGTGCCTTAATTGCCCCCTCATTTTAGGTAGCCAATGTGTAAGTTGCCTGTACATATCTACCCTGTGTACAGAGGGTATTGATACTTGATGTGAAGACTCCTTCCCTCTCTGTTGGTATTTAGAGTAACTACCACTCTGAGTATAGGTCAGGTTCATCAAATTATAGCAATTTACCCTTGTTTCCTTGATAAAAAAAAATTTTTTTTTTTTCCTGTAATCTTCCTCTAGCCAAGTTCTGATTATCAAGCCATCAAGGCTAGGTCAAATGGGTACTGTCTGCAAGTTTGGGCATTCTTGTGCATTTCCTCTCACTCCGTATCAGCTGGATGCTTCACTCTCAGCTCTAGCCCTCTGTGGCTATGTCCTTGTCCTTGGGCTCAGGTGTCCTCAGGTCTCACCACACTATGGACCAACCAGCCCTTCCTCTGGTCTCGCTCATCTCCAGGTCGATAGGATATGGTTGAACTCAGCCCATTTCTTCATTGCTGCCTTTCCCCCTCTTCCACTCACCAGTAGACCAGTATGGTCGCCAGCCAGCTTATGTGCTTGTTTGTCAATCTGTTGTATTTTAACGGTTCTATTTGGACAACTTTTGTAAAGCTGCAGTGTAAGTTCATGGCATTGGGGCTGTCAGCATCTTTAGTTTTGAAGCACAAAGACCAGCTCTGCCTAAATGTTCACATCTGTGTATGCCTGTTTTTGTTTGTTTGTCTGAGATATTTTCAGTGTGTACTGTGAGGCTCTCCTTGGTAACTGGAGAGTGTTGTTTATAATGGGGTAGCAAACTCCAGTCAGCTGCCCGTTTTTTTGTGTGTTGCCCTTTCTGACTCCACACTACAAAGGCCGAATTGAGTCACTGGAACTGAAGAAACATGGCCGGCTAACCCTGAAACACTGACTGTCTGGCCGTTAGAGAGCAGAGTTGGCACCCATGGGTTTAAAGGTTGTTGGCAGCTGTGAAGGTTTCTCAGGTGGTACCAGTGGTATATAGGTGCTGGGTGGTTAGAAACATTTCTAAGGTTCAAGTTGGAGCTCTAAGGCTTTTGTAATGATTTGTTTAAAACAGAGGGTGTGTTCAGTGTAACTTAGAATATGAAAGGGAAAAAATTTTCCCTGCCCAGTCGAAGATTCAGAATCAGAAGCTTCATTGTACCTTTTGTCAAAAATGTCAAAAAGTATTATAAGCCCAAACTAGTTTTAAAAGTGGTATAGAGGTTTTCATCCATACTTAATGCCGGGTTTTCACCAAGTCCTTGCCCTTGAGACTGACCCACAGGCCCTGTGGGTGTGTGGAGCATCTCAGTCCACTGGAGTTTCCCAGGACTGGTCAGGACTGCAATGCAGCCTGCCTTGCCTTCTGTGTGGACGTGGAACAGCAGAAGTGGCAGGAAGATGGCTTATCAGGAATCGGAGTGGTGCCAGACTGCCTGCTCACCGCCGTCCTCACCATGTGTAAGAAGACGACATGTCCATTTACAACGAATTCCTGGACGAAGCTGTGTTCATTCTGTATGGGGAAGCAGCCTTGACTGGCAGGCACTGGGACCGTCCCCTGCCTTCCTTCCCCATTTCCTTTTCTGCTGGAAAAGAGTAGGGTTCCCTCAAGTTTTAGAAGACATTGTTGACTTATGTATCTTTCAGCCTTTATTTCAAAGAAGACCATCTTTTTCTAAGAACTTTGGAATCGTGACTCTTACAAGAAATGAGGGTGTAAGTGCTGGACGTGACTTTAGGGGCTTGTTGCTTGGCTCCGATTTAAGGGAGGAAGAAGCGGAAGCCAGACAGTCTGATTGCCTGTTCCCAGCACACCAGAAAGAACTGAGGCTGGGCCCCCTAGCTCACTAGGCGGAGAGCCTTCAGGCATCCCGGCAGCGGGCCTCTTGACAGTGGTTTCTGTTGTTTGTTGTGTTGTAACTGATGTTCTGTTGGCTTTGTAAACGTATTAGTCACCCATTTAAAGTGTGCAATCCAGTTCATAGACTTGTTTTTAGAATATTTTCATCACCCCAGAATGAAGCCCTTACCCATTAACAGGCACTTCTGGTTCGACTTCCGCTGGCAAGCACCAGTTTACTTTCTGCCTCAAGTTTGCTGTTCAGGATATTCATGTGAATGGAATCAGTCGTACAGTACGTAGCCTTCGTGTCTGGCTTCTTCACTTCATAAATGTTTTCAGGGTTCACATTGCAGTGCTTATCAGACCTTTATTCCTTCTTGTGACTGAGCTCTGTTCCATGATGTGGATATTCCGTTTAACAATATATTGATGTATCTTTGCATTGTTCCCATCTGTCGCCTATCAATGAAGAACGCTCCTGTGAGCTTCCACATACAAGTGTTTGAGTGGACATGTTTTCTTTTCTCCCAGGTATGTCTAGACGTGTCTAGGCTAGATGGCATGGTAACTGTCTGTTGAACGTGTTGAGGAACTGCCAGGCTCTCTTCACAGCCACTGCACCCTGTTGCCTTCCCACCTCCAGTGTTTGAGGGTTTCAGTCCTCCATCTCCTGGCTGACACTGTGACTGGTTTTTTGTACTTCAGTCATTGTAGTGAATGTGCTAGAAGTTCTGGTGGGGCCGTGGGTTAAGTATTGAGTTGCTAACACGAGGTCAGCAGTTTAGACCCACCAGCTGCTCCATGGAAGAACAGTTAGGCAGTCTGCTCCCATAAAGGCAGCAGCCTCAGAACCCCATAGAGCAGTTCTACTCTGCCTTGTGGGTCCTGTGACTTGGAATCAACTCAGTGGCAGGTGTTTTTTGTGAATAAATCATATCTTTCGTGGTTGTGATTTGCATTTCCTTCGTTGTTGAGCAGCTTTTCACGTGCTTGTCGGTTGTTTGAATGTCTTCTTTGGAGAAACTGTGTATTCACATCTCTTGCTCATTTCTTAATTGGGTCATTTTCTCTTTATTGTTGAGTTGCAAGAGGTTTTCAATATACACCTGGTTCACAAAGTTCTCTCCCGGTCTGTGGGGTTTCTCTGCATTCTTGCTAGTGTTCTTTGCGCAAAAGCTTGAAGTTATTCTTTAAAAAATAAGTTTTTCTTTGGTTGCTTGAGCTTCTGGTGTTATAACTAAGAGACCATTGCCAAGTCCAAGGTCATGGAAGACTGCTCCTGGTTGGTGTTCATGCTCTGACACTTAGGGCTATGGCCCACATCGAGGTCACGGTGTGTGCTGTGAGGAGCAACTGGGTGTTTTTGCACATGGAGGTCCAGGTGTCCAGCACCTTGTGTTGAGACCACGATTTGTTCCTCATTGAGCTACCGTGACATCCTTGTTGAAATTAACACCTTCAGTGTTCTTTCAGCTAAGCTGTGCTTCAGAAATACCTCTTTCCAGTCTGTTCCATAAAGTGTAAATTTGTGAACACAGTCCAAGTGTTGTGTTCATCATATGCACTCTGTTCATCTGTTCACAGCCCAGCAGACCTGGCTACCCCAGTCCGAGGTCCAGCGAAGGGTTCTACCCCAGCCCCCAGCATGTCATGCTGAGTAACCATTTCCAGGTAGGACACTTGCTGCAGGGGCTCCTGGGGTGGAGGGACTCACTGTTGCCAACTTTACTGTGTTCTTGCAAGTGTGCTTGAGTAAGCAAAATGCAGAAAGTCTTGAGTGGGTGTTGTCATGATGTCACCACTCCAAGGACTTGAATTGGACACTCCTGCAGTTGGGGCAGGTGCCCCGTCTCTCCTGCCTGCTGTGGTAAGGTGCACGGTGAAGCCGATGAGTCTGTCCTACTAGAGCTAACACCAATCCAGATTGCTTTTCTGGAAGACCGCCATAGAATTCACAATTACCTTCACAGAACCAGATGCAAGTCCCTGTGGGCAAGTGTGGAGGAAGGGACCGATACAGGTTACAAAAGGTGACAGGTGAAGAAAAGGTCACAGCGGTGTCGGGCTCTGCATTGGCTGTGTTTGTATTGAGAATGACAGCATGTAGCTCTCACTTTTGACAAATGCTTCCACCCGTGTGTCCCGGACCCCCAGCACTACATAGAGCACCCCTGTGCCCACCCTCCAGCAAGTCTGAGTCCCATCTACGGCTGAGATGTGTCTGGGGGAGTTCTGTGCCTTCTGCCTTCAGCTTCTCCCCTCGTCTGGCTGCTGAGAGACGTGTCGCATTGTCTGACAAAGCCACATCTGGGTTACCTGAAAGACTGCTTTAGTTCGTTTTGAAGAAGCTGAGCAGAGAGGTCTGTGGAAGAGTTCTCAGTAGAGAGAGTCATGCTGCCGTTTGTGCTTTTGCAAGGCCTTGTCTGCTATACCAGGGCTTCTGAAAGGGCTTTGTAGCAGGTTGGCAGTGCTTGATGTGGTCTCCAGCCTATCAAAGGGGAGTACAATGACGAGGCCCTGGAGGTCCAGGAAGGCAGAGCTCAGTGGTGCGGGGTTGTCAGCACGAATATGGCGATACCAGTCTCCTGAGGTCAGCCATGAACAGAGACAAGGCTTCTGCTGGGTTCTGTGAGCACCTGCCCACCCATGCTGCAGTGTGGCCCCTGAGAGCAGGGGCAGCAAGTGAAGACAAGTGTCCTTGTGAGTCAGCCCAGATGCTGCCAGAGCTCTCTTCATATCCATTTGTGTTCTTTTTAGCCTAAAATGCCTGTTTGATTCTTTCACGTGATTGGTGTTATTTCAAAAACTTTCATGAATCATTTGAAACCTCTGGTGACAATTCCAAACAGTTCTCTAGTAATTCTATGTCTCTTCTTACCACAAATAAGATAGAGTGGTTTGTATTTTATTTTGAATTATGAAAATGTCGTTATAAAAGTGCCATCAAGTCAATTTCAACTCATAGAGAAGCTGTATCGGGTTTCCTAGGAGCAGCTGATGTGTTTGAACCACCAACCTTGTGGTTCACAGTCCAGTACTTATCCTACAGCGCCACACCAGGACTCCATGTGAAGATAATTTCCATTCAGATAAATAATGAGCCCTGTCTGTGTGCTGTATTTGGAAGCATGTTAACTTCATGCAGTCTGTGTAGAAACCTGGCATGAACCAGTGCCCAGAGACATAACCCCACAGAGCTTTGTTGAAGGGTTCCTAGATAAGTGTTAAAGCCGTTTTGGAACCCGAGTTTCAATTTGCTATATCTCATAGAAACACTGCCTGAGTGACCTGGAGAGGCAGGGCCAGTCTGATGAGCTTCAGAGACAAGTGCAGGTTTTGCCCTCTCTGTTGACGGGCGAGGTGGGGTGGCAGTGTGGGGTCCTATAAAGACACCTCTCATTCCTTCACACCAGGACCCCTTGGACGTCTTATGAGACCATGTCAGCCCCTGGTTTGGTGGGGGGTGGTGAGTAGTTGAGAGCAAAAAGGTTGAGTCACCTTTGTGGTCTCCTGTGGACCACCCACGGTGACCTTTTCCCCCTTGTGGTGAGTGAGTGTTACAGTTCACTGTGGTTTCCTTGTGAGGCCTCGTGGTCCATGGTGCCTATCACAGTTGCTGCTTCACCTTACACTTACGTGGGTCCAAAACCCAGCACCCATCTCGCTGGGGTAAAATCAAGGGATCGAGACCACTGGAGCTTCAGATCCAGCATCATAGCACCTCCCTCGTGTCTCTCCTCTTCCTCAAGCCCCTGTGATCACTCAGGGTCAGCTCCCATCTCTGGTCCTTAACTTGCATCTGTAAATCCCCTTCTGCCACAGCGGTTCCGGGGTCAGAACACACATGGAGGTCTGCCTGCCACGTTAGTCTCAGTTGTTCCCATGTGTAGACACATTCCTGTCACAGCTTCACAGCCCCTACCTCATCTGCAGGTCTCTGGCTACCCTGGCTCCCATGGGATCACAGCCATGGCTGGCAGCATCTACCCAGGCCAGAGCTCCCTGCTGGACCAGCCCGACTCGTGGAACCACAGACCTCAGGAGATGTCCCTGTGGCAGCCCAGCGTGGAGGTACGTTGGTGTTTTCTGGCTTCAGTCTGCTGACTGGTCATACTTGGCCCACGGTATCTTTTATTTCTAAAATCCTACAGTTTAACTTGATTTTGATGACCTAAAGCTCAGATCAAGAAACCCCACCTACTCGGTGCTTTCTGGTTCCGTGAATGTTTTTCCTGAGAGAAATACCCCAGGAGAGGTACTCAGATCATGAACCCGTAAGGCAGAGCCATAAGGTGAACACAGTGGGTGTCTCTCTGAGGCCCAGGAAGGCCCATGGGATGCTTGCAAAGTGTTTGCACATTTCCCTGGTGACGCCAGAAGGTCGTCAGCCACTCCCAGACAATTGGGAGTCCCTCCCGGAACTCAAAGCCTCTGTAGCCATTAGCTTGTTCCTTCAGGCGTCTGAGTTTATTGACCACTTAAGATTCTACGGTATGTCCGTGTCATATCGGAATCGTCTGCTAGTCTTTTACTTCAAGGTTCTTCTGAATTTTTCATCTTAAAGATAGTGCTTTTTTTTTGCACATGTCTCTGATTGTTTTTGTGACGTCGTTAACGTGAATATGTGAGCCCCATGGTCATGCACTCTTTAAAAACTGTCCCGACCCTAACAAACAGACCTGCTGCATTCTCTTGGTTCCAACTCATAGTGACCCTGTGGAATGGAGCTAGCTGCTCCTGAGGATTTCTGACACTAGCTGTTTGCGGTAGCAGCCAGCCTCGTGTTTCTCCTGTAGAGTGGTGGGTTTGAACTGCCGACCTTGGAGTTAGCAGCCCAGTACTTATCCCACAGTGCCACCAGGGCTCCTTTAAAATTGCTCAGCATGTTATAAATTGCAATCCCTGAACAGTCATTTCCCCCCCCCCCGGCAAATGTTTGTTGTTATAGTTGTTAAGTGTCACTGAGTCGGTTGTGACTCTCAGCCACCTTGACTAGGGTTTCTGAAGAGCTGCTCTGGTGGATCTGAGCTGCCAGCCTTGTGGTTAGCCATCCAGTGCTGATCCTACAACACATACACACCCAGTTCCTGCCATTCCTGCTCATCTCATCAGTGTTCTGAACGACCCTTGGTACATCATGAACCGGCTCCTGACATTGGATATGTTGTCTGCTCTCTTCTTGTAGGACTCTGCAGCCTTGGACATGCGGGGGATCGGGCAGGTGCTCCCAGCCCACTTGATGGAAGAGCGGCTGATCCGGCAGCAACAGGAAATGGAAGAAGACCAGCGCTGGCTGGAGAAAGAGGAGCGATTCCTGGTGAGTAGTCAGCCGCAGAATGTGTCTCCGTCGGAAGCCTTGTCCTCAGCTCCTGTAAGGGGGTGGGTGTCCACACACACGTGGGCAGGTGCCATGCTCTGCTCCTTCCATTTCCCACACCCTTCCTGACAGAAGCCCTCGCACATTGCCAATGATGGCAGGAGTTGGTTCTCTCCAAGGCTACAACACTTCGTGCTTCTCCCACACCTTAAGACTGGCAGCATTGGTTGATGGTGCCGTCGAGTGTAGAGGATTTCCAAGGCTATAAATCTGTGCAGGAGCAGAAGGCCTCACCTCTCTCCTGTGGAGTGGCTATTGGGCTCAAACCACTGACCCTGTGCTTAGCAGTCCAGTGCTTATCCAACAGAGCCACCCTGTCCCATTGAATACTACAGGTCATATGAAAAACCGCCCCGCGTAGTTCCGTCCCATACTGGGCATTGAGAGCAGTGACCTTGGGCACGATCTGCTCATTTACACGGCAGGGCTAGGTTGTGGCCTGAAAGAAGTAGCTTTTCCTGTGTTCTTTCTCGCACTTAACTTGAAAAACCAGAATAGAGGCTACGTTCAGACGCTGTCAGCCTTCCATGCTCAGCTTCTTCAGAGATGCAGATAAGTTGCTGTCTGGTAGTGAGCAGTTGGATTAAATGGTGGGTAGGTGTTGGTGCCCTGGAAATAGGATTGCTCACGTACACAACCACACTGTCACCACTTAGGCAGAGTGTCCTCAGGTGATTGGTTCCACAACCCCCTGGACACTAAAGTCCAAGGACCCTTCAAGTCTCTTCTGTAAACAGTGTAGCTTTTGCTTAGAACCTACACACACCCTCCTGCGTACACAACGGCATCTCATTGCTTATGATTAAGACAGTGGAAATGCAAATAGCACAGTATTCTAGTTAAGTGCTGTTACAGACGTTCTGACTCATAGGGTCTCCAAGGAGCAACTTGTGGGTTTAAACCACTGAGTTTCCAGTTAACAGTCTCCTGCTTATCCTACAGACTCCTGGTGTGATGCTGTAGGATAAGCACAGGACTGCCAGGTTGGTTTGAACCACAAGGTTGGTGGTTCAAACTCACAGTTGCTCCTTAGAAACCCTACCACTGGGTTGTTATGAGTCAGAACTGATTCTATGGCACTTAACAACAAACTTATCCTACAGCTCCACACTGGTGGTGGTGGTGGCTGTGTGCCATTGAGTTCAGGTCCAAGGAGCAGCTCGTGGCTGTGTGCCATTGAGTTCAGGTCCAAGGAGCAGCTCGTGTTTCCAAGGAGCAGCTCGTGTACCCACACTGTGGCAAACAGATATAAATCCAGATCCAGAGCCTGGGCGAGCTGTATGGGCTCCTGAGCCTCTGTGTCTTGTTATGGAGGTGTAGTCTATGAACTCGGACTCCAATCCCCCCGCACCCCACAAAGTACCCCTCCTTTTAAACTCTCAGGTGGGGTCCAGGGACCACCACAACTACCAGATGCTTGGGTCCTACAGGACGCTTCAAGGGTTTAGGGTTACTTCCCAACAATCCGGGACAAAGTCGTTCTGCATCCCACAGCAGCCACGCCGCCCTTTCACCACATGTTAGAACGGTTCGCCCTTCATTTTAGGTTCTTTCCAGGTTTTGCATTTACATGTAAGCTGTAACTCACAAGGCCACTGGTGTGACTGTTTGCTTCTCTGACTTAGTTCTCTGCATGAGTATCTGAGAATCTGGGAGTGGTGTTCTTGGCTCAGGGCTTTTGTGTGACTACAGCGTGTCTACAGCGTGCCTTTCAGGGGCTCCTTGTTAGCTTCAGCAGCAGCTGCAGGCCTCCTTCCCAAATGTGTCTGGGCTGTGGGTGCGAAACACCTTCTCTTGGTCAGCAACTGCTTCAGCGCCCCTTGGGGCCAGAGAAGAAGTGTTTTAGCGCCTGAGGTGAGCTGACTAGAGCTGTGGGTGCTGACTGGCTGTTGTGTTGGCAAGTCTGCTCCAGGAACACCACTGTTTGTCCCTACTCTGGCACCTCATGGCTTTCGATCCACTTACTCAGCTGCTTCGTGCTCTGCGTGTCCACACTGGCATTCTGTGTGCAGTGCAGTTGACCTCTGACTACCACTCGATGCTGGTGCCGAAGCTCAGAGCAGCCAGCCCGAGCAGTCCTTGGGGCCTCACAGCTGAGGCCCTGTTGACATCAAGCCTGAAAGGGTGAATTTCCAGACTCCGGAAATACATTCCAGACCAAGGGAGCAGAGGGGGTCATGACGTGGGGTCGTGGGCTGTTGGACAAAGTTCATGGAGCTGCTGCTGACCGTCAGCTTGTCAGGGGGAAGAGGGGAATGATTCAAGCACCCCCAGTGTCTGAGTGATTCATACCTAGAGATAAGTGTCTGTACTGCCAGCGGGTCAGATACATACAGTGAACTGTATATATCTTGATTTTAGAGTTTTGTAAGTGTTGGCCTGTCTAAGCCATAATACCCATCAAGACCTCCAAATACGAGGAGGCTTCAAAAAGTTCATGGGAAAAACCAGTGAAAAGATACTGGAATTTTCCCACCAACTTTTGAAGCCCCTCATAGTTTCTTTGCTTAGTCATCCCCCAGCCCCGCAGCAACCCCTGCTAGCATTTCTAGCCCCGTTCTTGAATATCCTGCGCATCGACTCGTCCAGCATGTCCTGTCTGGTACCTGGCTTCATGCTTTCGGTCTGTTGCTCAGGGCTGTTCACAAGTCCACACACTCCACTCCTGGGGCCGCATGACAGTGAGTCGCAGAGGACTCGTGTCCTGTGTGAAGTGCCTCTCCATGTCTCACTTGTTTTATGTGTTGTTTATGTCTTTATATATTCTAGAACTAAATCTCTTGTCCTACGTGGGTGTGGGGTGGAGAGCTACACCCAGGAGAGCGCAGACCCCTTCTCTGATGCCCTGTCTGAGTGAAGTCCCTGCTGTTACGTGCTCCCTTGCTCAGGGACCGGTCTGTGAGAGTGCCAGCAGCCTACATTAGACTCATCTCCCGGGGACTCACCATGTGTGCACAGTGACTTCTAACGTGGCACTGTGCTAAAACAGGATCTTAATCTGAAAACCAGAAGGTCCTAGCAAGAGAAAGCCTGCTTTGTGTTGAGAGAAAGGAAGCAAATCCTTGGGCATTCCCATCTGAGTGGGAGATGTACAAGCGCCAGACACTTGGAAGGTACCATGGCAGGACAGTCAGTCAGAGCCAGGGTTGTTGGCTCTCCTCTGCTGCTGAGAAAGGTCATTATCTCTCCTGTCTTTAGTCCTTGTAGCAAATGCCTACTTGAGACCAGGCTGGCAGAACAAGGAAAAAAGGGACTTTGAGTAAAAAGTCTTGAGTTTGAGTTCTTCTAGAGTGGTCACAACTAGAGAGTATGTTGTTTCCTCAGAGCTAGGGAATTGCCTCTGGCTGTCCCGTGCTGCCAGGGATTTATTCTCTCAGTACGCGAGCTAGAAGTCTGGGTTCCCAGCACCAGCTGTCAGGGAAGGCTTTGTGTGTTGGCTCACTGTTAGGAGGAAGGCCCATGTCTCTTTCCTCGGAGATCTCCATCTCCCTGGCTCTAGGAGGGTTCTCAGGGCAGAGCCAAAGGACGCATCTCACTCTCGGGTCCTCTTACACTGTAAATCTTTGTTGTGGTAGAATCCAACTCATAGCAACCCTGTATAGGGGTTCTGAGGAGCAGCTGGTAGGTTTGAACTGCCAGCCTTGTGATTAGCAGTCCAGTGCTGATTCTACAGTGTCACACCAGGAGTCCTTACAGGAGCAGACAGCAGAGAGACTGGTGGGTTTGAACCGTCAACCTTGTGGCCAGCAGTCCGGTGCTGATCCTGCAGTACTACCATCGCTCCTCCTCGTGTCAGTCGTAGCGACGAGGATTTCCCACACCTCGGTCAGTACATCAGATCACACGTGCTCTAGGGAACACAGTCTAGTCCATAGCACTGAGGTAGCCAGGAACTGGGAACAGCCCACCTACCCATGAACATCCATGCCGTGGGGCTCTGAGCAGCACCCAAGTCGTTTCCAACTCACTGTGATCCTGTGTCTGTAAAGGGTTTCCCAAGGAGCAGCTGATGGATTTCAGCTGCCAACCTTGAGATGAGCAGTTCAGTGCTTATCTGACAGCATCAGGTCAGGACTCTTAAAACAACAATAACTAGGACCAAGTATTACTCCATGCAACCCCAGGGACCAGAGGAATGAGAAGGTGTGCGTGATGCCCAACACTGTCTGGGCCATCCTTAACCAGTGATGGCAGGGCAGGCTTTAGGCCGTACTGGGTTCCTGTAGGTACACGGAGCCTTGCTGGGTTCTTACCTGGTCATGCACATACATGGTAAAGCCTGCATAAGGCAGAAATCTGCCTGAGAAGGAAAACGCTAACACTTCCCACCAATCTGTATGCTCCATCCTCCCTGTCCAGCGGGCAAACCAGGGAGCCCCGCTGAGCAAGAGCTTTCACAGGTCCCATTGCAGAATGCGTTGTTGCAGTGTTGTTTAAGGTTTATGTGCGTTGTCATGGACAGTAAATTTAACCTGCTTACCTGAGCAACAAAAAATCAGGTTGCCCCAAACTACTTTTTTTTTTTAACAGTACTTTGGGTGGAAGTTTACAGAACGCATTAGTTTTCCATTCAACAATTTATATACATTTTGCTTCGTGTTTGTTCGTTGTAACCCCTCCCCCCCCAATGTGACAGTCGTCTTTCCACTTTGCCCTGGCTTCCTGTTTCCATTTGGCCATCTTTCCTGCCCCTGAACTCTTGATTTTGAGCCCTTTTGGTTTGTGGTTGATGGTAGTGAGGAGTATCCTCAAACATTTTTTGGCTGTGATCCATTTGTACAAGATTTTATAAGTAAATTGCCTCATTTTATCTGTAACTCACCATCTTCAGACCTGGAGCGTTCTGTAAGGAGGACGGGACTCCATGTCTGCAGTTGCAGAAGCGAGACTAGACTCTGCTCTTGCTGCCAGACTGCTCCCGTAGCTGTTGAATGCCATGTGGCGTCCACCTTCATCCACACAGGCCTCCTGTGGGGCTGAGGGGAGAATCCCCAGAGCGTCAGTCCATTCACAGAACACTTTCTGTAGAGAGGATTTTCTTATCTTAATTAGGAACACGTGGCATAGGAGATTATTGTGCGCAAAGAAATACAAATAAACCATTTCATGTCATTTTTATGGCAATAAAAGATAATTCAAGTCTATGAGGGGGTTTCAAAAAAGCTCGTGGAAACATGGAATTAAAAGAGCACAACTTCATTCTATTTTATTTAAACTTTTTGTTGTGGACTGGGTGAAGGTTTCTACCCGACATCCACAGATGTTTTGTTTCTCCTAACTGACCATAGCCCCTCACAGTACCATCAGTTACCCAGCTTGCTTCGTGTCGTCCTGTTTTCTGTCCTTGGGTAAATGTTGCCCTTTTGATTTCAGATAGTTGGATATTCTGAGGAGTGCATACCTCACTAGAGGTCATGTTCCCCTCAGAGACCTGCTTCTTGTTTGACTGGAAAGTGATGGACCACCTGCAGGGGTCTAGTGGCTATGGTCTCTGTCCAGAAAGAAAGCCTGGTCCTCTTGTATGATTTTGAGTTTCGTCCCACGTTTATCTTATACTCTCTCCAGAACCTTCTAATGTGATGCCTTCCAGGGCAGTTAAAGTTGGTCCGTGACCCCTTTGAAGCCTCCCTAATGGGTGTGGTGCTGTAGGCAAGGTCGGTTTGCATCACAAGATGGCCAGTTCAAGCTCACCAGCCACTCCTAGGAAACCCTATACAGGGTTGTTGTGGATCAGAAATGATTCGATGCCACTTAGCAACACCAGCAGTGTATGTGAACCACAGCCAGTGGGCCGCTCATTTGTTGAAGTTCGCACACTGGTTCCGAGCGCCGGTGGCCTTCCCTGTGTTCCGAAGCCATGTGTTCCCTCGTCTGTAGTAGCTCTTGTAACTTGCTTTTCACACACGTGTTCCTCCAGTAAACATGGGCTGCTCTAGGTGCTCACGACGCACTACCACAAGCGTCGTTAATCTGTGTGATAACCCATTGAGGGAGAAAGCTCTCCTTCAGTCTGCAAAGTCCTTCATGACCCTGGGGTTGTGTTCTGGGACGCATGTGCCTGAACTCCGCAGACGTTTTCTCAGAACCTGCTGTTTTGGGGGCTTCATCTTAACTGCACCTCAGCTGGCGGGTGCCCATGAACTACACAAAGCTGTTGGCTCTGTTCAGAAACCAACAGGACCCCGCATCCCTGGTGTGAGCCTGGGGAGGGGCCCACTGACCTGTCTCCCTAAGTCTGACTCCCTCTGTGTGGGTGCGGGTGTAGGACCTCTGCCATGAGAAATGCATGTTGTAATGACTGTTCCCGTAAGTATGGTCATGTGTTGTCCTCCAGAGCTGTCCACTTCCTTAAACTGTCCCTGCTCTCAGAGTGCCTCTGGTATTAGACAGGTTTTCAGGAATCATCTAGACTCGGACATAACCAGAGACAGCACACAAGTCACCCTGAGGGGACACAGTGGCTCTTACCCAGGCCCTACAGAGGAAGTCTCTCCTTAACCTGATCTCCTGGGCTGGTCTCCAGTCCTCAGTACCTGCCCAGGTCAAGTACAGCGCCCGAGAGGGCATCATCTCAGAGCACGAAGCTTTTCCCTGTCATCTTACCATTGTTTGCGTGCTTGCTCAGCTTCCCACAGCAGCCTGGCCCCCGGTACTGAGCTCATGGCCACATGCTTCACAGAGGTGGACAGGAAGTCAAGGCCTTGAATTGCAAGATGAGGGATTTGAATTTGTTTCACTGACACTGAGAAGAAACCTCCAGGACTTGGCCTGAGAGGAAAGAGTGCAAACCCTGCACTTGCTTGCGTTGGCCTGTGTCCGAGGCCAAGGGGCCAGTGAGGAAGCTGGTCTGTGGGAGAGTGTGGGGGCCTCCACGGTGGGCCTAGAATGGAGGGGGAGAGGCACCCATCAACACCTTTCTGGGGGCACAGGAAGTGAAGGGTCTGGCTGTGTGTCTGGTGGAAGAGGTGGAGGCTGCAGACCCAGTCAGGTGATGCCTGGATCAGGTGATGACTGGATCGGGTTATGCCATTGGAGGGTTGTGGCTGTAGGCGAGCAGACAGTAAGTGGGGGGAGCCAGGACTGTGGGCATAGATTCTGGGGTGGCTTCACGGAGTGTTTTTAGTAGAGAACGCTGTCCTGGGCAGCTCCACCTCTAACAACGTCATGCCACTCACTGTACTTTGGTGTTAGCAAAGTGTGCCATCTCTCATCTGAAACCAGATTCCTCAGTTTGGCGTCTGGCTTGTAGAAGTCAGGGCGGAGGGCCTTGGCTTTGGAGAGGCAACAGTGCTCCGAACGTGTTTCCACATGGGCTGGGGGCTCTCTCCAGAAAGAGCTGACCCTATGTGTGGGATAGGGGTCTTTGGAAGGGTTTTCCCCGGGCCGGGGCCTAGGACTGAGTCTGAAATGCTCCCACTCGCAAGTCTGTACGTCAGAAGGTTCTGTAGTCTCAGACCAATCTAAAACTCCTGTGTGCTTTCCTCCCACAGAAGCCGGATGTGAGGCTCTCCCGGGGCAGCATGGACAGGGAGGACGGAGGTCTCCAGGGCCCGGTGAGCAGCATCTCGATTTGATTTCAGATTCTTGTGTGTGTAGCCGTGGTGTGCTTACTAATCTCTGTCATGTGGACTGGAATCCCCTGAGTGAATGGAACGACACACTGCACAGCCCAGAACGCTTGGTCTGCCGGCCCGATGTGGTCTGCGTGCTAGCTGTCCACACACACACACACAAGGTGCCTGCCATTACACATTGTTGTTGCTGATAAACGTTTCAGGTCATATCAGACTTGTTAAGTAGGATTGCTTTTCTTCTGGGTGCTGTGAGGGGAAATGTCTGGAATTTTCTTTCCTTTTTTTTATTTTTTCAGTTGTGTTTGTTGTTGTTGAGAAAAATATACAGGAAAATGTTCACTAGTTCAGCAAACTTTTAGTGACACTGATGATATCCTTCGCGTTGTGCCTGCATTCTCTCCCTCGTTTTAGAAGTTGTTCCTCCCACATCCGCACACACTCACTACCTCTGAGAGTCCCTGATAGTTCCGCGGCCTGCTAACCCTACAGAGGGTCATTATGAGTCACAACCTACTTGATGGCACTGATAGGAACAAATACTTGGAACAGCCCTAATGCACAGTGGTAAGCACTCAGCTCCTAAGCCAAAGGTGTTCTGGGCCTGTAAAGACTGACAGCCCAGAATCCCTGTCGGGCGGTTCTGCACTTCTTCGTCAGGTTGCTGCGAGTCAGAATTGGACTCAACAGCAACAGACAGGAGTTACAAACCCTGTATCCGTCCTTGAGGGAGACTAGTTCCAGTTCGTAGAGTCTCCATGCTCAGCTGTGTGAATAAAACAAGTGCCTGTGTGCTCTGAGCACGTGAAGACGTTCTTGGTCAGAAACAAGTGGGTCAGCAAGAAGCTTAGGTGTGGACTCGATCACAAATGTCAATACCTAGCTAATGGAAAACCAATGCTATTTGGGTTTTGTAAACAATGTACAAGTTGAGGACATGAGTGTTCTGTGGCAGCTCATGTTCACAGCCACCACTCGTCTGTCAGTTTGCCTCCTTTGTGTGTTGCTAGAAGCTTGGCCACAGGTATTTGAAACCCCAGCAGGGTCACTTATGGTGGACAGGTTTCAGCTGAGCTTCCAGACTATACGCCAGACCAGGAAGGAGGAGAGGCAACGGCTTCTGAATGGTTGTTGTTGTTGTTGTTAGGTGCCACTGAGTCGATACCAACTCATAGCAACTCTACACACACAACAGAACGAAACACTGCCCCGCCCTGGGCCGACCACACAATTGTTGCCATATCATCAGTCAAAACCAGGCCAGGGCAGACTGTGGACAGACCATCAACTGCTCATATGCAAGTTCAGACTGAAACTGGACAAAATGAAAACAAGCCCATGCGAGCCCCAATATGACCTTGACTCTAAAGTCCCACGTGACTGTGAATGAAGCACTACAAACCCTGTGACTAGCAGCAGAAAGTTTTCTCAGGTAAAGTCCCTCCGGTTGGAAGACGCTCAGAGGACAGCTGGAGGAAAGGCGGCCTTCTCAGTGTAGAGTTGACCGTGATGACACAGTAGAGTAAAGCTTTCAGGACCTTTATTTGCTTATGGGGGACACGACTCAAAATGAGGCGAAACAGCTGCAAATATACATTAATAATCAGAACATGGAATTTACAAAATGTCAATCAACTGGTTTGATGGCTGGATGACCAGAACTTGACCTATTGTTGTTGTTAAGTGCCATCGAGTCAATTCCGACCCATAGCGACCTTGTACAGGGTTTCCAAGGCTGTAAATCTTGATGGGAGTAGAAAGTCTCATCTTTCTCCCACAAAGTGCCTGGTGGTTTCGAACAGCTGACCTTCCGGTTCACAGCCCGATTCGTAACCACTAACACATTAAAGTGTAACTTGACTAGAGAAAGATACAGAAAATTTTTATAAAGGAAACAAGTGTAAATTACTACAATTTGATGAACTTGACCTACACTTATGGATGTAGTAACCCAAAATACCAACTGAGAGGAAGGAATCTTCACATCAAGGATCATTCCCATCTCTGTACACAGGGTTGATGCCTAAAATGGGGAGAAAGCGATTGGCTTACAAGTTTTCAAGGAGTTTAGTTTCAGAGTGTGTGGGGCAGGGTAGAATCCCCATTGACTAGTACTCATCTTGTTTAGACAGGTCTGTTAAAAGGAAATAGGGATAAGATTCTTATGATTCCATAGTAATTGTTATCATGACTAATTGTAGTTGTCTCACTGTTACAGTAGAAGTTTTGTAACAAAAAGGGGGGAGTAGTTAATCTCAAGCGTGGCAATGATAGTGAGGTTGGCCTAGGATCCGGCAATGTTAAGTTCTGCTGTGTATAAGGTCGTTATGAGTCGGTACCAACCCGATGGCACAGAGCAACAACAAGTTAATATTACAGTCCAAGGATCCTAGGACCATCAAGGGGAGAAGAGCATGAGTGGAATAGGGACCCTCACTAAAGAAGCAGCAATACCAGAGATGGAGGCAGAGATGAGGGCATGGAGAGAGGGAGCAGCTGAAGACTCTAGGCTCATGGAAGGAGAAAGGCTGTGTGCTGGCAGCCAGGAGGCAGGCTTGCAGAATGTGTGCCCTTTGATTGCTTAAATGATTCTATATTCCTTAGTGTTTTTGTGTACATAAAAAAAACCAGAAAGAATAGAAACAAATACTGTTGCATGGCTTACTATCCCAGGAATGACAAATTGAATACGAATGGTGTTTCATGCATCGTCAAAAAGGACATATCCAGATCAGTCATGAGGTACAATGCTGTAAGTGATAGGATAATAGCCATGCACCTACAGGGAAGACCAGTTAATTACCACTATTATTCAAAGTTACACACCAACCACTAAAGCTAGTGATGATGAAATTGAATTCTACCAACTTCTTCAATCTGAAATTGAGCAAACATGTAATCAAGTTGTAATTACTTGTGCTTGGAATGTGACGATTGGAAACCAAGAGGAAGGATCTGTAGTTGGAAAATCGGGTCTTGGTGATAGAAATGATGCTGGAGATTGCATGAATGGAATGTTAGAAGACCAACGATTTCGTCATTGCAAATACCGTTTTTAAACAATATAAAAGGTGACTGGACCTCACCAGATGGGATAAACAGGAACCAAATTGACTGCATCTGTGGGAAGAGATGGTAGAAAAGCTCAATCTCATCAGCCAAAGAAATGCCGTAACCAACTATGGAACAAAAGATCATCAATTAGTCATATGCAAGTTTAGGCTGAAGCTGAAGAAAATTTAAGTCCATGAGAGTCAAAATACAACCTTGAGCATATCCCACCTGAATTTAGAGACTATTTCAAGAACAAATTTGGTGCATTAGACACTAATGACTCAAGACCAGAAGAGTTGTACTATAACATCAAGAACATCATTTGGGAAGAAAGTAAAAGGCCATTATAAAGACAGGAAAGCAAGAAAAGGCTAAAATGGATGTGAGAAGAGACTCTGAAACTTGGTCTCCAGCGTAGAGATTCTAAAGTGAATGGAAGAAATGAAGTAAAAGAGCTGAAGGAGATCATTTCAAAGGCAGCTCAAGAAGATAGTTGACAAGTATTATGATCAAATGTGCTAAGACTTGAGTTAGAAAGTCAGAAGGGAAGAATATACTCAGCATTTCTCAAGCTGAAAGAACTGAAGAAAAAATTGAAGCCTTGAGTTGCAATAGTGAAGGATTCTATAGCAAAATACTGAATGATGTAGAAAGCATCCAAAGAAGATGGAAGATATACACAGTCAGTATACCAAAAGAAATGGTCAACATTCATCCATTTCAAGAGATAGCATCAGGTGAAGAACCAGTGATATTAAGGGAAGACATTCATGCCGCACTGAATGCATTGACGAGAAACAGCTCAGGAACTCACAGAATACTGATGGAGCACTGGGGGCACTTACTTAGTCATCTATGACGGGAAATCTGGAAACCAGCTACCTGCCCAACCAACAGGAAGAAATTCATATTTGTGTCCATTCTAAAGACAGGTAACTCAATAAAATGTGGAATCATGTAACAATACTGTTAATATCACAGGCAAATAAAATTTTGCTGAAGATAATTCAAAAAATGGCTGCAAGAAGACATTGACAAGGAACTGCCAGAAATTCCAGTCAGATTCGGAAGAGGATGTAGGGAGAACAAGGGATATCCTTGCTGCTGTCAGAAGGATCTTGGCTGAAAGCAGAGAATGCCAGAAAGACGTTTTCTTGTACTTTATTTATTGACTGTGCACAGACTTTCAACTTTGTGGATCATGCCAAGTTATGGGTAACACTGTGAAAATTGGGTGTTTCAAAACACTTCATTGTGCTCCTGAGGAACCTGTGCATAGACCAAGAGGTTACTTTCTGGTTGGGATCAGGAAAGGTGTGCATCAGAATGGTATTCCTTCACCATCCTTGCTTAATCTGCACGCTGAGCATATAATCCAAGAAGATGGATTATATGAAGAAAAGAATGTGGCGTCAGGATTGGTGGAAGACTGATTAACAGCCTGCAATATGCAGATGATTCAACCTTGCTCACTGAAAGCAACGAGGACCTAAAATACTGAACTGATGAGGATCAAAGAGCACAGCCTTCAGGATGAATATAGTATCTGGATACACAGAAAACTAAAATCCTCACAACTAGACCAGTAAATAATTTCATAATAAACAGAGAAAAGATTGAAGTTGTTAAAGACTTCATTTTGCTTGGATCAACTATCAACACTCATGGAAGCAGAGGTCAAGAAATCAAATGACATAATGCCCTAGACAAGTCTGCTGCAAAAGACCTCTTTGAAGTATCCAAAAGCAAAGAGATCAGTTTGAGGACTTCTGTGTACCTGTTCCAAGTCATGAGATTTTCAGTCACCTCAGATGCATGTGAAAGTTGAACAATGAATAAAGAAGACACTTGAAGAATGGATACATTTCAGTCATGGGTTGAAGAATATTAAAAGTACCATGGACTGCCAGAAGAACAAACCAATCTATGTTGGAAGAAGTGCAGCCAGAGTGCTCCTTAGAAGCCAGGATGGCCAGACTGCGTCTCTCATACCTCAGACATATTATCAGGAGGAACCAGTCGCTGGAGAAGGACATCATGCTTGATAAAGTGGAGGGTCAGTGGAAAAAGTGGCAGATCCCCAACAAAATGGATTGACACAAGGGCAGCAGAATGAAAGACAGCAGTTGTGAGGATGGCGCACAACCAGGCGCTGTTTCATTCTGTTGGCCACGTGGTCATTGCAGTTTCAGCCAACTCGAGGGTCCCTAACAACCACCACTGTTTGTTCACAGCTCCCTTTATAACACATCCCAGTTCAAACCCCCGGTGGCACCTGGCCTTTTCCTTGTTGACTGTATTACAGGAGCATATGCCCTCTTCTCGAGTTCCCGAGGTGTGATGGGTGTGTGCCACATGAGCCGGTGGTGGCAGTGCTATCTATTCAGCGTCCGTCACTCAGCTTGTTCCTAGTCAGCTTGTCTACAAACAAAAAAGCCAAGGGTCCAGGCTGCTCTGTGTCCCTCCAAGATCCCACAGTCTAACCACAACAGAGCTGGTGTACAGCTCCACCTGACTTCTCTGTGCCTGCCAGACTGGACCAGAGCCTGGTCACTGATCCCAGGCATGTAGCCTTCCTCCAGAATGTTCCGGAAATCATGTTTTCTAGCTCACTGGACTTTCTGAGTACTGACCAGAAAGTCATTGGTTTCTTAAGCCCCTTCCATGGTGAGCAGCTGCATGACTACCTAAATCGAGAGTGCAGCCAGCCAGCAACACAGCCTTCCTGAGGACCACCCTTCCTGCCATCCTCTCTGCAGCCCATGGCCTCGCCTGCCCGTCCTCAGGCTCCTGAGCCCTCTCCTTACTTGTTGTCATTACCCAGGCCCTGAAGACTCAACCCCTCTGCTCTGAGGCGTTAACCCGGACCCACTGCCATCTAGTAGGATTCGGCTCACAGCAGCCCTGAAGGCAGGAGGTAGAACTGCCCCATGGGGTTTCCAAGGCTGAAACCTTTACAGAAGCAGACTTGCCTCATCATTTTCCCGTGGAGCAGATAGTGGGTTTGAACCACTGACCTTAGAGTTAGCAGCAGACTGCTTTAAACACTGTGGTATCACAACTCCTTCCTGTTTGTGGTCCGGGTATTAATGGTAATTTAATTACAGTGATTGGTGCCTAGGTGAAGTTGGGGTTGTCTGTTACGGTACCCCATCTGACAGAGTGGAGAACTGCCCCCAAACGGTTTTCTAGCTCTTCGCTTTATGGGAGCAGAACACCAGGCTTTCTCCCACAGAGCCACTGATCAGTTCAAACCGCTAGCCATCCAGTTAGTCTCTGAGTGTGTGGCCTTTTCACTTGTTTAGAATACAGTTTTGGATATGATGTCCCGAGTCGCCTTGGTCTCCATGATCTAGTCCATCGTAACCTGAGATTCAGGGGTAACGGGGTCTGGTTGTGCTTTAGGCCTCAGCTGGCTAGACCTGTGTTACAAAGTCTTGTCCATTCCATCCCTGAATGTTCCACTTTGGAAAGAGTGGCTGGGGTGTGTGCATCCTGGGCCCACCAATGGGGAAAGCCTGCTAAAACTAACTAGACGTGGGCTTTACATGTGTTTTCAGTGTTCTTAAGAAAATGGCAAGCTGGCCGTGACTGCCCGTCATGTTCCTGTGGCGTCTGCCTGTCTCTCTTTACCGCCCTACCTGACAGGCCTGGAGGTTGAGTCTGGAGTTGCCCCTTGCTCATTGTTGAGCCTCAGGACTTAGCACAGACGGTCCCGGGGCAGGAGTGGGGATGGTGGGTGGGAGGGAGATCTTGCTCCAATTGTCCACATCAGCGCGTTGACGAAACGTTGTGTTTCCACAGACTGGGACCCAGCAGCACATCTATCAGCCTGTAGGGAAGCCCGGTAAGTGAAGGGACTGTGTGCAGGCTGGAGGCAGAATCTGCAGTGTGTGTGCTCCCGGTAGCTGTAGAATGCCCTCAGGCTCTTGGCGACGCTTTTCCCTCAGACCGTAGCAAGTCTGAGGTTTGCCAAAGTCAGCCACTGACCTGGAATATTGTAAAATAGAATTGGTTGTTACAGAGCTTCAGAAATGTCCCTGTCAGATGCCGTCCTCAACATTCTGGCCAGTGCTGTCAGTCATGTGTGTTTGACTTGAGAGTTGCTTCTTTACTGTGTTACTGGAAATCCCTTCATCATAATCATTCCATGTTCTTAGATCCTGCTGCTCCACCAAAGAAACCGCCACGCCCTGGAGCCCCTGGCCATCTGGGCAGCCTGGCCAGCCTCAGCAGCCCGGGGGACAGCTACAACGAGGGTGTCAAGGTGGGCGTCCAAGCCAAGTGAGCTTGTGGCTCAGCACAAGTCAGTGGACTTGGTGGCAGGGGCTGGCAGTGAGCACCGTAGTGTGGGGGGTCTGTTAGGGAACTCGGTCAGATCCTGACTTTCTGACTACATCTTCTTGGATACAGTGTTTGCTTCGGGTCACACCTGGTGTAAAGGAAGACCTTGAGTACGCTCCTAGTCGCCACATTTGGAAGTGTGGCTTGTCACTAAGTGCCGTGGAGTTGGTTCCAACTCGCTGTGACCTTGTGTAGGGTTCCCGAGGAACAGCTGCTGGATTTGAACCACCAGCCTTGTGGTTAGCAGTCCAGTGCTTATCCTACAGCACCACCCCAGGACTCTTACGAAGTGTGACTTATGGAGTCAAAATTCCATCGTGTAACTGCTGAGTGCCCACCCAGAGCCAGCTTTCAGGAGCCAGTGACCAGGCAGCTTCCGTGCTCTCGGTCCCTGAGTCCCTGAGTCTGAAGGCAGCTGGAGCCGTCTGTGTGTGGGATGCTCCTGGTTCCCACAAGGCCCCACAGAGTGCTGGCATGACTAGAACAAGCTTAAAGGCAGGCTTTCCTCTAAATAGGTTCACCTCACAACACAGGCATGTTCCCTACACCTCAGGAGCCCTCCCCACACTTTGAGCATCTCCTCACACAGCAGACAGAAGGCATCATCTTCCTGTGTGGTTTCTTGAAAGAAATCATTAAAATTGAGAGAAAATTAGGTTCATTTTCCTAAGCCACAAGAGCAAACTTTGAAAATAGCTTGTAGTGTGATGAAAGACCAAGTAGGTCAGATACCCACTTAGAGATCTGACCTACTTATTTTCACTTTACAAGTAACAGTGAATAGAAAGAATTGGGAAATAACCTTACTGTAAGAGCTTCGGTAGGATTCTGGTATGGCATTGTAGGATAAGCACTGGGCTAGCCACTCCTCAGAAACCCTAGACAGGATCATTGTAAGTTAGAACCAGCTTGTTGGCACTTAATACCAACAGCAACATACATGTTTAAGCAAGTAGAAATCTTCATGAAAATACAGAGTGTGTTATCTGGGTTCTGACAAACTGCGGCCTCTTCATCCCTTAGTTTTCTGTGCATTATTATGTACATAAAGTACAGTAACGTGTGAGCTTACAATATACTAAGGATTTTGAACAATATTTAACAAATGTGAAATATCCATTTCCTTATTATCTATCAAATTTAGTGTAAAAGAACACTATGATCTTAATGCTAGAATGCTTCGTTTTAGCTGTAAGGACCGAACAATTCACCCAAACAATGTGTAACCGGAAGTCAGTCTCAGTTTTTCTTGGTGGCTTTGCATTTGACTCTGAGTTATCTGGATTTTAAGCATCTGCTTTCAGTGGTTAGAATCAACTGTACATGCAGAGTGCTGGCTTGGGAACACCCTGCCACATGGCCTGGGAGAAGCAATAAGAGGCTCAATTGTTGCTTCTGGAATTCCACTGTGAAGAGTCCAGAAAGCATGGCAGCATTTCCCGCACTGACAGTCAGATCGTCCCTCTTCAGCAAGGATTGTAGCCACATCCGCTTTCTCCCTCCTGTTCCCTGAAGAGAGCCTGGACAGCCCCCTGGCTTTTTAAGGGACCTGCTCCTCAGTGCCCACAAAGAAGACAGAACACAGGGGGTGCCTCAGGAGCAAGCCCCCCATTTTTAGTGCCCTGAGAAACAGAGACTGCAAGAGGCATGCATGCTTTTCAGATCACTCTCTGGCATGGAGGGAGGATCCCGTATTCCCCACTTGACTTGGCCTTCCAGTTTTAGTAGGGTGACCCTGGTTGAGTTGTAGAGAAAGTAAGTCAATAAAAACCTAAAAATCTCCAGTCCCTTCAAGAGAAGCTGCTTTTCCCAGTTACACAAGTCCCTAAATGGCACTGTGAGTTAATTTGCTGAACTGCAAAATCAACAATGTAAACCACAAGGTTGATGGTTCATACTCACCAGCCGTTCCTTGGAAAACCCAATCTAGGTTGGAACGTACTCAGGGGCACTTAACACAGTCTTTAAGCACAGCCCCAGCCAGACTCTTGGTGACGGCAGGAGTTTTAGATGGTGCCATGCATGTCTAAGGATATTGGGGCGCCGGGTGGGTGCACAGCTGTGCAGTTTCTCCTTCATTAGTCCAACTTCAGAGGGCGGTGCTGAGTGAGGACCATGGGACCATTTCTCTTGAAGGCCCTTGGCATTGGGCTCGCACGCTGCTTGCCGGGCATCACTCCTGATCTTTGCATGTGTGTCCCTCATTTGTTCTGAGCGCCAAACGTGCATGCAATCAGCCCTTTCCTCGGTGTACCGGCACTGTGCGTGGGTGAGCAGTGAGCTGAGCTCCGGGGCACCTCCAGACCAGCTCCTTTTGGTTCTGCTTGTGGATTGTGACAGGGTTTGTCTGTTGCCTTATTAATGCTGTTTTTCTTTTTTCCCCTCTCTTGACACATTTCTTTAACCTTTCCTCACCTCCCATCCGACATAGCCGTGGAGGGTAAGCACCTTGTATCCGTGTGTCTGTCCAGCCCTGCATGAGATGGGCCTGAAAGCTGGGTGAGGGCGCTCTTGCTTGGGTCACCCCTTCTCGTGACCCACAGAAACCACAGGAGCCTTGACATGTGACAGAGGGAGGCATGAGCACCGCTGCTGTGTCCTTTCCTGTCCCCTCTCTCTCTCACACCCTGGCTCCTGAGCAGGCTCCTGGGGCAGCACCTGCTAGACTCAGGAAAGAGCCACTATCACGGGCTATAATCGGTCTCTTCTGAAAACACACGCTGCCTGCCCTGTTGTGTCTGCTGGAGTTGGAACCCAGGAGCCCTGGGGCACGATGCTTAGGCACTTAGCTTGGAACCCACCAGCCACTCAGTGGGAGAACAATCCGGCAGTCTGCTTCCTTAAAGATGGCAGCCTAGGAAGCCCTGGGGGCAGCTCTACCCTGTCCTAATGGACGGTTACCATGAGTCCACTGGACAGCAGGTTTGGGTGTTTGGTAGTTGGAACGCCTTATGCCGACATCCAGCTTCGGTGCCTGGGTTCCGGAGCAGGTCCTTCTGGCTCTTCTGGGCCCTGAAACAAGGCACTTCAATTCACATTCCTCAGGGTGGGGGGCTCCCCCACAGTGACAGGAGGGTGCTTTATGGGGTAGCAGGCAGTGTCCACTCAAAGAGGAACACCTGCTTCCACACTGAGCGACAGTCCTCTTTCCCAGTGTACAGCGCTTGCTTGCCCCTTAGCCAGGTCAGTAAGCTGTAAAATCTGTGATTCCTCAGAGGTGCAGAAAGTATGCGTCTTTCTCATGAGTGATTTTGGGGGAACACCAAATCACTTCTTTCCTACAATCTCGGGTTTTTAATGTTGGGTATCTGATGATTCCATCTGCTTTGCTTTAACTGAGCTCAAAGTGAAAACAGAATACGGACTCATTGCCTGGACACTGGGTATGAATTCCTTCCCACTCAACCTCAGACTGGCACACGGGTTCTCCTGTGATAAGCTTTGATCTCCCTTAAAGGCCTGCCCTAGCCTAATTGCAAGTAGGGTGTCTCCCCCTAGTGGGGAGCAAGAGGTAACTGACTGCCTGTTGTCAGCTTCAACCCCAGGAGATCAGCCCTCCGCCCACAGCCAACCTTGACCGTTCCAATGACAAAGTGTACGAGAATGTCACTGGCCTGGTGAAAGCTGTCATCGAGATGTCCAGTAAGATCCAGCCGGCCCCACCCGAGGAGTATGTGCCAATGGTGAAGGTAAGAGGTAGAACCTCATGGGGCATGTCTGTTCCTGACCCTGTCACGACTCCGACAGAGTTTGTTAGTAAGTGTTGGTCACAAACAAAGTGGGCTTCAAAAAGCCCATGGAAAAATTTCAGTATCTATCAGTTCCATTTTTCCACAAGCTTTTTGGAGCTCCTTGGCACAATCAGGATTGACCAAAGGGATGCAGGCATGTGATGCCGCTGCTGTAAAGCCTTCCAGGGTGAGGCTCAGATCACCTTGCTCCTGAAGGGCAAAGACGTCTCAGGGCTGGCACCTCCACAGGCGCTCCGCATGCTGTGCCTTGGAAGAGGGGGAACAGCTGTCAGCGGAGGGCTAGGACCCCGCTGTTCACTGCGCGGTTTGGGGTGTGGTTGGTGTGGCAGTCCCATGCATATATAGTTGTTTATTGTAGTCTGTTTGTTTGATGGAAATAAAACCTTCATACAGAAATGTGTTCATTTCAGCTGGATGAACTACCAAAGTAAGCAAGGAATAAGCATTTCCAGGGTACGCATAACAATAGTTTCAAAATTACAAGGCGGCTTCATAAAGCTACGGAAAAATGGAACTAAAACGTAGAATTTTCTACAAATGTTTTGACGCCTCCTCATGGAAACTCACATCACTGTGAGGAGACGCCTTTAGCAGCCGCCTTCACACTGAGCTGCTTTGGGCGAGGGACCGCAGGCAGGGGGCTCTGTGCTTGGGGGAAGGCTGACCTGGGAAAGAGCCACAGCTGCACCTCCTCCCTCAGCTTCCTCCTGGAGGGACACAGTGCAGGCTGGTGTTCCTGTACTCCAAGGTGTCCAGGACAGGGTGCCACCAAACTGGCTTCAGAGCTGGCACCCCTGAAGTGTGAGTGAGCACACTTTTGGGAGTGCGTGTTCGACACAGGAGCTCTGCTGTGTGCTGTTCCACTTCTCTAGCTCTTCTTCCGGGTGGAGCTACAGGACCCCAGTATCTAAGAGCGAGGTGAACCTTGAACAGTGCTGAAGGTCTTCGGGTGATTTCTCTGTTAAGCCATGGCATTTTGTGAAGACGGTGCTCTGTTCGTGGCCCATCTTCCTCTCCCACGCTGTCAGTCATGACGTGGAGCATTAAATTGTGGTACAATGTTAGAGAACCAACGCTGGACTGCTCACCTCAGGATGGGTGGTTCAAACCTACCAGCTGCTCCTCAGAACACCGAGACACGGTGGCATTGGTGGGAATCCACTCGACAGTGTTTCACGATAACAACAATCTTCCTTGGTCCCTTTATTTTTTTAACCCCCAAAAATGTCAGGGGTAGTAGTCTTGCTCATGTCTACATGGACAGAGTCCAGAGGGCATTGGCAGGATTCCACGATGGCTCCTGTGGTAGCAGTGGGAAGTTCTCAGTCTCTGAAAGTCCACAGAACGGACACACTCACTGACGGGCCTCCCTGCCTATTGTCTGCCGCAGCCTGTGAAGGACTGTCAGGGTCCCTCCCTAAGACTTCCTTCCCTGATGTCTGTGTCCCTGAACCCGAGCCTCACTTGCTAGGTCTGTCTGTCTCCCTAGAAGTGACAAAAAGAAGCAAAAGCTGCCAGCGGTGACAGGTGCTGTCACATCTCACAGACCCCAGACTCTGGCTCTCAGCACCATCTGGTTCCGTCATCATCGCCCCCCACCCCAACCCCCCCCAGACTTCTCCAGCCTGCCCCCCGGAGGTGCTAATCCAACTGCAATTCTTGTCTCCTAGGAAGTCGGCTTGGCCCTGAGGACGCTCTTGGCCACCGTGGATGAGACCATACCCGTTCTGCCTGCCAGCACGCACCGAGAGGTAGGTGTCCTGAGGGCCCTGCTGGGAGGGCACCAAGGACACAGCAGGGGCACAGCCTCCTCTCAGTCCTCCACCACAGAGGCCGTGAAAGCTGACCTCGCCGCTGCACTACGTCACTCATGTCTCCCCGTTGCCCAGTTCCGCAGAACAAAGCTTAACATGCCTGGCACCTCCAGACCCATCACACTCAGAGCCAGCCTTCTTCAGTCTTGGCACCCAGCTGTAAACTCTCCTCTGGGTCCTGGATGGTTTGTCAGAATGTAACTGGGGCGTCTGCCCACAATTCTCCTGCTGCGCTGAGTACAGACACGGCCAGTTCATTCTTATGGCCCCCACGGGGGAGAGGAGGGTCCCGAGATCGCCTTCCTCCCCAGGCAAAACCGTTCTAGTGCACCCTGCCTCTGCCCTGCCCCCACCCCCAAGCCATGTGTTAGATAGAGCCCAGAGTTCACTTCAGGGCGAGCGGCTGTTGAGCCGGTAGGAAGAGTGCGTGACTGGAAGCCAAGACTCAGGTTTTTGCCCTGCTTGGCGACTGTCACCTCTGCAACAGACGTCTGTTAAGAAACTAAAGAACCCTCCCAGTCCCTAAGGTTAGCAAGCCCTAGACAGTGACCAGCCATACATGTGAGAGCATGCGCCCCCAGAGCAGGTTGGCCAGTTCCCCAGAGGGAAGCTTGAGTCTTCCGTCTTGTTTCTAAGGAGGATTTGTTGGAGTGAAAGAAACCCATTTCCCCTGACCTTTGTCTGGCCTTGCAGATCGAGATGGCTCAGAAGCTGCTGAACTCGGACCTGGGGGGCCTCATCACCAAGATGAAGCTGGCCCAGCAGTATGTCATGACCAGCCTGCAGCAGGAGTACAAGAAGCAGATGCTGACGGCCGCGCACGCTCTAGCCGTGGACGCCAAAAACCTGCTGGACGTCATCGACCAAGCGAGACTCAAGATGCTGGCACAGACGAGGCCGCACTGAGCCTGGCCGAGGGTCTGGCCTTCCGTAGGGGGGAGAGCTCCTCGCAAGATGTTCCCTCACTTCCACGTAGTGGGGTGAGGGTGGGGATCCTCACCACGTCTCCTCGCCGTCCCTGTGGTGGGGTGGGGGGTTCCTCTGAGATGTTCCCTCACCGTCCACCAGCAGTGAGGAGCCAGCCTCGAACCCCCTGTTGCCAGCACTTTAGCTCCCTCGCTCATGACTGTCAGCTGGCTGAAATCTTCTCCCTCATGCAAGTCCAGCCACATCCTGATTTGGGTTTTCTGTTTCGTTTTGTTTGACTTGTGATGTTCTGAAAAGTCGAGGAGCCAACATGGGACAGTTTTCTGCAGATGAAAACTGTATGTGAGATGCCTGTGAGGACCGCGCCAAGTGTTCTGCCTTCACACTAGGAGACAACGTGTCAGGGCTGACACGGGAATTCCTGAACTGCCGAAGCTGTGGATCAGAAGCAGGAAGATGCGTGAAGAATTCCGGGAAACCCACAGGGCTGAGAATTCTTTTGCCTGTCATCCACTTCTTATCCAGACTGGAATTCATTTCTGTTAGAACACCCTCCAGTTGCAATATGCTATACTACTTTACAAAGAAAAGAATATAAAAGCTATATTTTGAAGACTTAAGTCATTTCAGAAAGGACAAAAAAAAACCCAAACGGCCACCCTGTGTCTTGGCTGCCTCTCCCTCTCCCTCCCGTGGGTCTGTGAAGCCCCTGGTTGGGAAATAGCTGCAGAACACAACTGAGAACTCCCGTCGTGTTTCACCAGAATAATGGGCCAGTTTTTTTGCAGCGACTTTAATTTCTCTTGGGAGCAGCAATGCTTTGTACCAGAGCACCTCCAGACTGCGTCAAGACGTCCCGTCACCAACCCCATTTTTATGTAATTTCCATTTTTATATAATTTATACAGAAAATTGAAAGCCATGTTGATCACTCACAGCCGCGGGAATTCCCTGTCCCTTCATCGTGTCCGTCTGTCTGCCCAGGAGAGGCTGAAGCCGAACAGAGGGGTCTGGTTTGCTCTTCTACCCTATGGTTACACCACCCGTTCTGCTAAGTCATCATTGTGAAAGATACACCTTCCCTTTAGTCTGCTGGGGGATATAAATTATTCTCAGGAAGAATTGAATGAACTGTACAGTTACTTTGACCTATTAAAGGTGTTACCAGGAGAGTCCTGGGCATTAATAGCTTCCCTTTTGTGACTCAGTTTCTTCCAGTCATTTACAGCTTCTCCGGGGACTTGTCAGATAAAACATCACACGGGACAACTCTCACTCTGTTTCTTTTCTCGTTGGGTCCTCTAGAACAGGTAAGGACTTTCCCTCACAAAGACGGCCCCATCTCGGTTCACCTGTGCATTCCAGTATCTTTAGTGTGAAAAGCAAGACGAGCCAGTGTTCATGTAGGACCTGACAGAGACAGAGCCATTCCCACCACCAGGGGCCGTGTGGACACAAGTCCCATGGCAAGGAACTCGCTGGCGGGCTTGAGCTGGGCACCCATGCCACCCGAACTTGGTGGCTGAGGCGGAAGTGGACTCGAGCGGGAGGCTCGAACAGTGGAAGTCCAGGGAGTGGGGAACCCAAGTGGAAGATTAGAGGGGACGTTTGCTAGATGACCACACCACCGACCAGGTGGGACACAGTGCCGTCTCTAGGTATTTGTACCTTTTGGGAAAAGCACTGTGGGGCAGGTCACGTTCTCCTCAGCCCTTCTGTGCTTCAGTTTGCTCATCTTGTGAGGACTCATCTGAGCAGCCGTAAATGGCAGTGTCGGTCCCATGTGTCGTGGGGCGTCCCTGTGGGATATTTAGCAGCACTCCTGGTTGCTACCCCCTGGATGCTAGTAGCTCTCCCCACCCCCCCAGTTGTTTGTGACCCCTAAACTCTCTACACAAGTGTCCCTGATAACGAACGCCTGCGTCAGAGTCCATTTCCTGGAAGTGGTCCCCATGGGGGTGTGGTCTGACTCATCAGGACAACTGTCTCCTCTCAGGAAGAGCTGCAGGTAGGTGTCTGATCTTCCATCCCTCAGTCCTAGGAGAGGAAATGCACATCCCCTGTGAGTGTGTGTCCAGAGGCGCATACTGAGCCTATGAGCCAAAGGGACAAGGCTGGACTCAGCTACTGGAGGAGGCATGGCCTCCTCAATTTAAGAAGCTCGAGGTCCACATTCAGGGAACTGGCTCAAGGGGGGAAGGTCCATGTCTTCAAGTCCTTGGTGATTGTCCTGTGGTGTCTTCCGGCTCTGCTTGTGTGCTTCTTACATCTCAAAGATGATTGGCCTTATTAGCATCACAAAGAACCCCCTACTCCCAAATGATATCCTATCCATGGATCTATGGGTGAATGAGGATTGAGAATTAGAACATGCTTTGGGGAATACATTTCAATCAGTAACATGAACCTAATGAAGCAACCCAAATTAAAGCATCTGAAATCTTGTTGGTGTCAGGTGAAGTCAGGATGAAGGTCTGTGTTGGCAGCCTCACTCTCTGCCTCCTCCCACTGCATCTATTCCTGTTGATAAAATAACTAGAGACCAAAGGGCATCTGAAAGTAGAGCTCCCCCGAGTTTTCACAAAGCTAACTCCATCTTGTAACTGGGACCTGAATTCAGAACTATGGTAACTCCAGCACGCCAGAGATCCCAAGTCACTGTTCCCTAGGAAGGTGACTGACCCCCTCCCTGATTTTCTTACATCAACCTTGTTACTTAGACTACGTTTGATAGTAAAATGAACTGATTGGACAGCTCTTGGATGCTGTCCACCCCCATTGTTGCACATCTGGTCAGCAAGGTGAAGGACATATTGTCACCTCTCAAAGCGTTCACTACCCCTTCCAGAAAGACACTCGCACCACTGATGAGACGACCTAGAACTGTAGAACGTTTGTAGAACTTCACAGCTGGAATGCGATTCTGTGTATACTCTACACTTAACTCGACTCACTTGTGAGCATCTGTGTCGCATGTTCTTCATTTCTGAGAATGCCCTTGGCATAGACACAGTATAGCCCCTTTACTTCCTTAGGCCGCTGTGAATGAGACCTTCGGGCAGTTTTCAGGTTTTAACTATTAGAAACTCGGAATCCTGGGGTGGCACTGTGGGTTAACACTCCAGGCTGCAAAGCCATTTGAACTGCAAGGTTGGCGGTTCAAGTTCACCAGCTGCTGCTCAGAAACCCTATACAGGGTCGCTCTGGGTCAGAACCGACACGATGACACTTCACAACAACAACATTATAAACTAAGCTACTGTGATGGTGTTTCCACTTCACTAGGAGTGAAGTTCCTGGATCACGTAGTAAGATCTGCCAGGATGATGGTGCTATTTATTGCACACTCCCAGGGCCATGGACTGAGAGCTCCAATTGCTCCACGTTCTCGCCAGAAACTGGCGTCCTCGGTCTGTTTCACTTTCGATTTTTTGGTTGTCTGCTGTGCTATCGCATCTCAACTTGTGCTTTCTCAGTGAATAGCAACGAATGTCTTTTCTTGTATTGACCATTAGTATACCTCAAGTATTTGTCTTGATCTATAATTGGCTGATATTTTTGTCACTGAGTGGTAGGCATCCCTTACATGTCTTGGATGCCAGTCTTTGTCAGATACATGTTTTTTGTTAAGTGGCATGGAGTCAGTTCTGACTCATAGAGACCTTCTGTAGGGTTTCCAAGGAGCAACTGGTAGGTTTGAACCACTGACCTTTTGAAAGCATATCATCAGTTCTAATGCATCTCTAGGTGACTTTGAACTGCCCACTTTGGAGTTGCTAGTCAAAAGTGTAACCATTTGTGCCACTGAGAGAATCCTTCCATCTCAGTATGTTGTCTGATGAATCGCTCCATGGGTTTTGTCCATGTTCCAATTGGATTGTTAAGAGTTTTTACTGTTGAATTTTGAGTCATGATTATATATGAAGAGGATTCCAAAAGTGGAGGAGAGGAGAACCAAGTAGTAGGTACATAGCCTATCAGACCCTCCGCAACTAAAGGGAAACCAAATGAAACAAGTGATCATTCTGGAACTCTGACCCTCAGAGGAAAGGTTGGGGAAGTGGATCCAACACTTGGGAAAGGAGAGACAGCCTGGGGACGGCTCTCCCAGTTGGACACAGTACAGTCATTTTCAACTTTGCCGACAACTTCAGAGACCTCCAACTTGGTAGTACAGTGAACTGACAACAGGAATGGGGTGCTTTCTTGTCCCACAAGTTCCCTGTTGACCAGAGATGTGGCCAGCCTCCACCCTCATCCATCCCTGCTGTCTCAGAATTCACAGCCAGAGAGCAATGAACACAACAGTGCCACTTGGCACCTGGGTGTGAACGGGTTCTGCTACAGGTGTGTGGAGCCTGTAGAGATACCTGATCGGCCTTGAGTTGGCCCATCTGGTGACCCTTTGGCCCAGACAGACAGCTCCTGGATTCATAGGGGTTTGCTTCTCACCTGGGAAGGGTTTTCCCTCCTTTGGGGTGGTCTGCTCTTTCATCATCTCGCTCACTTGCTTCTATTTCTTTTGACCTTTTCTGCCTCTGCTTCCATTTTTTCCTTCCTTCTGTTTCTCACATCCTCCTCTTGCCTTTTTCATCTTTTGATTTTGTTTACTACTCTCTAGTCTCTTTTTCCATTTTCCCTCTCCCTGGTTTTGTCCAGTGTTTGTTTCTTTCCTCTCATTTTTCTGTTGTGTAACTATTCTACTGCTCCTCTTTCTCAGATACACTGTTTTCTTCTTGTTTCCAGATTCTTTTTCTCTCTTATTTTTTCACTACTGTTAGCTCATTTGTCTTGTTGCAGTGTGTGTGTGTGTTGTCCCACCTGAAAAGAGAATTCCTGCCCACACAGACCAGACACAAACGTATCTTCTGCAGCACCACCCACTTGGCAGGAGCCAATACTGGCTCCTATACGTCAGCCAAACCAAGCATGAACAGCAAACAGAACCAGGCGCACACTTCCATTCTCTAATTCCACCT